CCCCCCCGCTTTGGGAACTCACTCCACCCCAGTTCCGCACACAGGGCTCCCAGAGCCCCGCTCCAAAAGCTCAATTCTGCCCTCTCTTCGCCCGGCTCACCCCAGATTTCGTATCAGCCTTCTGCACCGTGTACCCCAGAAGCGCTGCATTGCCAGTGTCTCCGGGAGGTGTCCACTCCAAGGTAGCGTTGGAGCCCCAAACGTCCACCAACCTGATACTCTGAGGAGGGCCTGGCCTCTCTGAAAGGGCAGAGCACGGCAGTGGGCACCATGAGACGCACTTGCCGGAAATCACCCCGGGGTGGCCCTGGGGGTGAGCTCCCCTGCTCTCTGCCCACCATCTGGCAATCGCACTCAGGGTGGGGTCAGTCCGGCTTCCCCAGCTCTTCTGAGATGGCTCCTTTCAGCCTGAAGAGGGCGCCCCAAGGACCACCTCATGCCCCACTCCCCATCATACCGATGACCAGGATGTCAATGGTGGCCGTGGCCTGCAGCTCGCCCAGCTGCACACTGAGCTGATAGCGTCCAGAGTCGGCCCGCTGCGCCTCTCGGATGAAGAGGATGGAGTCCCGCTCGCCGGTCCGCACGCTCACGCGACTGGCATCCAAGGCATAGCCGTTATGTGTCCAGGTGGCTCGCGGTTTGGGTTTGCCCTGAGAAATGGGGATGAAACCAGGCAACCCCAAGAGGCCTCTTGACCCCACTGTGATAGCGGTCAGATCCACCCCCGGTTCACATGAGGACTCGACTCACAGCTGCAAATTCCTAGAGCAAGTCCCAGGGAAATTCCTTCTATCAGCAACAGGCTGAGGATCATGGGAAAGGGAGGGGACTGTCTGAGTTTCCCACTGTGTGAGGGGTTAGGCCAGGGAGTTGGGGGTAAGAGTCACCCAGTCTCCCAAGGGTGCCCAGGACAGAGACCTCCCAGATCCAAGGTAACCGAGGCCATGGGTCAGCCTGACCTCATCACATGGGGCACAGTCCAGTCTGACCCAAACCCACCCTCAGGAAGGCAGACCAAGTGTCATTGGCCTCAGGCTTCTGGCGACCTGGCCGCTTTCTGTTCAAGGCCAGGACCCCTGCCCCTGCTAGCTGGCCTCCTGGTATCCGAGTCCAAATCAAACCAGGGCGCCAGCTGGCGTGATCACCTGGAATGGAATCAGTAGGTTCACTGTGTCTCCAACCTTCCTGATGTAGGTCTGCCTCAGGGCCCGGGGGAGCCAGATCTTGGGGTGCTCTGAGTGATGGCAAGAGAGAGAACAGGGTGAGGGGGGTGAGAGAGTTCCCTGTGGTGGGAAGAGAAGAGCTCAGGGAAACAGATCTTGCATCCAGCTGTTTCCATGGGGAGGTGACCAGGATCCCTGGGCGGATGTGGGAAGGTTGTTCCCATTATCTTGCTGAATTAGCCTCAGGAGAGCATTAAGATCTTGGCAGAAAGAGCGTGAGTGTGAGCCTGCTGCTACTGCTTTTAATTTATTACACTCAACCGCTGACTTTTCATTCTCAAGATTTTTTTTTTCTGTTAGTGCAGACGAGTCCTGTCTGTGTAGTTTATCATTTCAGTTCTTTATTTACCCTTAACAGCCTTGTTTTATGAAGGCCACTTGCAATGTTAATCTTTACCACTCCCCCCCTTGTGGGAGAAAGCTCTGGGTACAGCAGGCAGCCACAGCCCTCAGGACCCCTTGGGGTGACAACGACATCTCTAGCAAGTCGCCCGCCGGTGTCAGTGTCCCCCAGCTGTGGAGGGGACTGTGCATGGACGGAATCCGGGAAGAACGGTCCCTTCTTCACTGCCCTTGGCCAGGCCTATTCCCGTGAGAAGAGGGATTAGATTGTTTCCTGGCTTCCAGGCTGAGGACAGGAGACACTCAGCCTAGTGCTGGGTGCCTGGTGTAGAGAATGACCAGGTGTGTCTCTCTCCTCTCGGACAAAGTGCCACCTGGCTTCTCTCTGGCCTGGCTGACCCTACACTGTTTCCTGCCCAAGGTTGGTCAGGTTCTTTTTCTTTCTCAGGCAGAGACAGTCCCCTTGCTGCTGGTGTCCTGAGTGGAATGTGACAGTCCCTCAGCTCCCATCAAATCCCCAGCTCTCCCTCCCACAACTCGTTCCTGGCACTTGGAAAACCTCCACCCCAGTGCACAGCTGTGAAATCATAGCAGGCTGCAAACCTCCTGATAACATACGTTTCCCTGTAAAAACATCCCTGAGCGTTCACCCCCAACATAGGTATAGTTATGCATCCACCAGGCTGTTTGAACATGCATATTCTATATTGCAAAATTACGAAATTTAAACAGAGAGATTCTCCTATGTTCTCCCTGCAACTCAAGTTGTAGATCATTATTTAGGGACCAGGAACTTCACTCAGGGCTGTCATAAATGAGCAGAAACTTAACCGTCAGCACATGCTGTCCATTTTACTGGTGCTGTTTCCTCTTTTGCTGAGTGACTGGCTGTGCTGTCCTGGACGGACTCCCCACCATCCCTGCCCTGACAGATGCAGGGGCTGAGTGACATGGGACTGCCCCCCTCAGTAAGAGCAGGGCAGCGGCGGGCCCCAGGCAATGAATGACCCCACTCTGCTTGCCCTCTGTTCGACTTTGGCAGTTTGGGGGGCAGGGCATGAGGAACAGAAGGGGGGTTTGTGTAATGAGTTCCTCTCCTGTGGCCATCTTGGCAAGCGACCAAAGAGTGGAGAACAGGCGGATATGACTTAAAGGGGTTTTGGAAAAAAGAAGGTGGCAATTGAAAAGAAGGGTCAAAACCTCATCTTGTTGGGCTTGGTTCCCCAGTGTTGGGTGGGGAAATAACCCTTCACTCTTGCCGGGGAGGGCTGGCAGGAAGCCAGCTCTGCTGTCCTGTGCTCTGCCTCTAGAAATGCCTGTCTGGGTCATGGAAGAACAGGGGAAGACTGGAAGGAAAGGCTGATAAGTCCCATCCTCTGGCTTACACCCCAGTTCTTCTATGTTTAAAAAAAGAAAAAACAGGCCCTCCCTGGTGGTGCAGCAGGTTGAGGCACAGCACTAAGAAGCTAAAGCCACTGCAGCATGAGTTCAATCCCCGCTTGCCCTGGAGGTGACCCACATGGCATTGCTGTTCCCCTCAGCAATGTACTTCATCAGGCGGCCTGTTCTGCTCCCCACTATGTCCTTTCACCGCCCCTGCACCTCTGGCCTGTACCCCAATGCTATATGCATAAATAAATAGATCTTAAAAGAAAAACACCTTGGAAATGTTAGCATTGCTTCACCTGAACTAAAGAGAAAAAAATAAAGAAGTAGGGTTTTGGAGTACATAAGCTCAGGTGGGGGTTTTAGGAGAAGCTTGAGCAGATGGGCCCTAAGATCTCGAAGGGGTGCAGTGGGGAAGAGAGATGAGGGGAAGGGCTCAGGGCAAGAAGGTGTCTCCTCTTCCCTAAGGGGCTCTTGGGCCAGGTCTCTGCTTGTAACTGGGATTCCCTGACACAGTGATGAATCAACAACCAGACACACTTAAGTTACTAGAATGTTCTGACTCCCTGAGGATTAGCAGGCGAGAACTCTGCTCTCAACAGCCCCAGGCCTCACGAGGACAGCAGAGGATGGACTTGAGGCCAGCGCTACTGACAAAGTGCTGGAGGTGGCAGAAGAGTGTCTGACAGCCCCAGGTGCCTGGGCCCATCTGTGCCAACTCCGCCCAGACCTTGCTGCCTGAGCAAACAAGAGCATCTGACCCTTTGCGAAGACCGTTAATAGAAGATCTCACCGGGGGCACATCTTTCCACACATCCACAGTCCAGTGAGGTGTTAATTGTGCTGACCGTGGACAGACATGGGCTTTCCCTGAGGCTCAAGGTCTTTCTCCTCCTCTGATGCCAGGAGGGTGTGCGCCCTCAAGCAGAGAGAGGTTTTGAAGGCCAGGGTTGAGACAGTCACCTTTTGGCTTTTCCCTTCATAGAGTCTTAGAGGAAAAAGCACTGGGGAAAGTGCTTTGAGAGCCATGATTTCTGAACTGTGTTGCTCTCGACACTTTATTTCTCTCAGGCATCGTGCTACTTCATCCTAAAAACAGTAGAGAAGGTTCCTAAAAGCATCACAACTCCTCCCGATCAGAAAGTTTCTCCTAATTCTGGAGTAATTTCATTCTGTTGAAGTCTATACCCATTTCCTCCTCTTCTCATGTGAAATAACTGTTCCTGTTCTCTCGAAATTTCCTTTCACATGGTTACACTTTCCTCTAGCAACTTCTTAAGGCACGCACAGCTCAGACTGATCATGGCCTTGGGAATAAAGAAACAAGACAGATGCGTTGAAAGAGTGGAAGAGTCGGTGTGTGTGTGCAAGTACTTTGTGACAGTGTATGTGTGTGATGTGTGTGTGAGCGCGTGTGTCTGAATGGCTGGAATGTACATGTGTGTACATGTGAGTGTGTGTACACACGTGTGAGGCACACACGTGTGCACACATACATGTTCTGTGTGAACGGATGGCTCCCACAAAGACAGCGAGTGCACAAGGCCAGCTCTGGCACTGAAACATCACCAGACATTTGCAGAGATGCAACAGTTTCCAGAGGAACATTAGCAGATGCCTAGGAAGTGACCTTGGCCTTATCTGAAACCTGTCTGCAGGAGGGGGATGGGAAAGAAGTGTGGTGACCTCAGAATCACCCTTGTGGACAGAAGCCAGGGTCCGAAGAAACGACACAGAAGTGTGCCGGTTCTCGACGAGACGCCGCAGCTCTCTGGGGTGCTCTCCGTGGGGTGACTCCCGGCAGCACTGCCCATCATGATTCTTGCTGATTTCCACGCCCTTCCATCCCAGCCTGCAGGGCCTCTCACATCCAGTCCCACCTGCTCTCCAGTGGGTTTGTGCTCCTGGTTTCAGCTCCTAGAGCCTTTGCTGGTTCTCTTGACCAATATCGACAGCCACTCTGTCATCTGAGAGCTCCCCACGCTCATTGCCACCGCTGTATCAGAGGTGGCTAACAGCCCGGCAAAACTTACATCATTGGGCCTCCTTGGTGGTACCGGGGTTAAGGTGCTGTGCTGTCAGCTGCTGCATGCAAGTTTGATTCCCAGCCAGGCAGGTGACCCACATGGCCCAACAGACCTCTCCTGTCTTACCCGCTGCTCCCCTCAGTGGTGCACTTCAGCAATCCGCCTGTTCTGCTCCTCACTCTGGCTCTGGTGAATCTTCTCACCATCCCTGTACCTCTGGCCTGCACCCCAGCTCTTGTATACATAAATAAATAAATTAAAAAAAAAAAAAGGCTTGGATGCCAAGTAGAGCCAATGGCCTTACACTGAGCAGTGGGTGAGACGGGAGAGGTCTGCTGCATCACGTGGGTCAGCTCCCTGACTCATGCAGCAGTTAGGTTAACAATGTTGAGCCTTAACCCCTGTGCCATCAGGGAGGTCCAGAGCAATAATCTTAAAAAAACAAACAAAAAAAACCCCCCAAAACAAAAAAAGCCCCAAAAACTCAAAAACTTACATTACCCTTTCCACAGTATAGCTATGTCTGGGACGGGCTGTCTCCCTTGCTGGCTAGTTTTTGCCACTGAAATGTGAGTGGAATCACTTGTGAGACAAGCCTTTTCAGAAATGAGTCATCTATTTCCCTCTCTGCTTGCTGTTTGCAGACGACCACAGGGCCTGAAGCTTGGCCAAGTCCCAGAGCGGAAAGGCCGAGGTTTCTATGTGCTGCATGGGAGAAGGACCTGCTGAGCAAGCACACTTGTTTTTAGCTGTCTCCCTCGTAAGAGACAAACAAGTCCTGTGTGAATGAGTGGTTTTGAGGCTTCCATTCTGCGGCCCACTTGCTCCATCGACCACATGCCTAGCTGAACGATACCTATGCTCTAGCTCACTCCCTTCAATGCTCCAACACCGATCTCGGCATCCCGATCTCCAACCCAACTGCCCTTTCCACTCCATCACCCTGCTCAGGTCACTTTCTTCCCCACCCGACTTAGATGCCTCGGTGGTCATTAAACTCCTGCCCCGGCAAACCAGTTCAAATCCCTTAGTCCTCTTTCACTTTACTGCATCCCTCTCTCTCTCCCCAGCCCCTGTTAAATCAACTTTCAGTGAACGTGACAGGAAGATTACCAAACTAGGCTAACTCTGAGCTGCTGGTTGCTAATAGCGACCTTTGCTCGAGAGTGACCCAGGCAGCTCTCCTGGGCTTCGCGGGTTCACGCAGCCTCGTCTTCTCCCAGCAGCTATTGTGCATTTTCCTTTTCTAAAACTTCCATACATTCCCCCTCATCCTCACTCTCAGGTTACAATCTTGCTCGTGTCTGGAGCCCGCCTGACTCTGTTCTTAACTCGGCAGCCAGAAAACCTGAAAACCCGCTCTAGACGGTGTCAGTTCTCTCTTGAAACCCTGCAAGAGGCCCGCTGTGACTCGGAGCAGAAGCGGTCTCCACAGGGAGCGTGCTACTTCTTCGCCTACATCCTACCACTCACTCCTGCTGCAGACACAGCAGCCCCTGTTCATAAGGCGCTTCTGTCCCAGGGCCTTAGCACTTGCTGTTCTGTGAAGGGAAGCAACCCCCCCCCCCAGCAGAGGCCCGCACGGCTCATGTATCTCCTTTAAGTTGTGCTAAATATCACTTTATGCATGAGGCCTTCACTGCATTGCTGTTTAAAATGGCCAACACGCCTCCCCCCCAGCACCTTCTGTCTTCCTCGCCCTATTTTTCGACACAGCATTTATCACCACCTGACAATTGATTGTCTCTCCTTACACGAGGATGTAATCTTCAGGAGGGAAGTTATTTTTGCTTATTTTATCATGCCTGTAACAGTGCCTGGCACAGAATGGGCACCAAAGAAATACTTGTAGGAGGACAGAAGATAGGAGAGGAGGGATTTGACCCCATGTCTTCTCTGTCCAAGCAGACAACATTTGGGAACACACTTTTTTGCAAAGTGTCACGTGGAGTCCTTACTGGGTGACCCAGGGGACGCGGCTGGGTTGAGCCTTTGGGGTCTGGGGACTGAGGCCTGAGGCCGGAATGTGCAGAGAGAGGAATCAGGGACCCGAGGCTGCACCATGGGACCTGGACCGGGGCTGCAGGAGCCGACTGACCACCACACTCACACCACAGACGGAGGGAGGAGTGGGTGAGGCGAGGGTCTTCCGTGGGTGTTCAAGACCAGGAGTCCTGGCCCTCAGTTTTGACTTATTCTGTGCTTTTGGGGGAAAGAAACTCATTTTCTGCCTCAAGACTGCCCCAGCCTAGTCTGTTCACAACATCTGCTTCCTCTACTTCTTGTTTAGTGGAGCAAGCTTGCAGACTCTCTGCCTTTGATACTCAATTTCTGAAGAACCAGCCTCTTCCGCTGCGTTGATAAGAGCGGAGGAACTTCCCCGACAGCCCGGCCTGCCGCTGCACGTTTACAGCCCGATGTGGTCTCTTCTGGGCACTTTGTACTGGCTCCATTGTCCTTCCAAGAACCTCACTAGACAGCGGTACTTCATCTCCATTTGGAAACCGGGCAGTCGGCAACTTGTCTTTGCTCACATTGCTGCGGGGGCAGCCCTGGAGCCTGAGTCCAGATCATGTTTTCTCCTCCCCCTGCCTCCCACCCTGCCATTCCACAGATATCTCTTTAGCACTCTTTGCCTCTTCTGCAATTAAGATTTCAGGGGGCTGAACGTGGGGTTTTGCGCAGGTTCCTGCTTTACGTGTTCAGTGTGGCCCTGTGGAGGCCGCTGCCCCGTAGGAGCTGGGAAAAGCCCGGCTTCCTCCTTCCCCTTGTTCAGCTCAGCCAGGCACAGCCGGAGATACTGCAGGGAGCGGCTGAGCCTCAGCCAGGGCCAGCTGGGAGTAGGCGGCAGAACTGCTGTCGGGGAAAACTGGGCCCAGAAGGGCGCCTCCACTCTTAGCTAGCAAAGGACTCTCTGCCGAGAGGCTCACAGAGACCAGCGAGGGGCGGATAGCAAATGCTTCCTTTTCTCAAAAGGGTTCTGTGTCCATGGAGCTCAGACTTTGAGAGGTGGGGGTTTCCCTTGGGAGTCCTTGGGGTTTGGGGCTGAGTCCTGCACCCACATCATCGCCAAAGGAGAGGCAGGGTGTCCTGCACCCACATCATCGCCAAAGGAGAGGCAGGGTGTCCTGCACCCACATCATC